AAACTTGAATTTGTAAAATGTAATGGCAGTAAAAGGTAACTTAACATACCATTAGAAAATTGTTTTGAATTTTTAACCAATGTATACATACCAATACTTCAGTTTTTCCATCTTGCATGTTAATAACACATGATGTGCAATTTTTAGTGCAAAACATGATACCACTGAACAGATTCGACAACCAATCCCAACATCCACAATGATGCCACAAATATTAGCAGGAACCCTCACCCCATGTATTGACATTATTTATTAAACTAATGAAAAGATTTTAAGGTTTATCATGTGAGACTTATGTCTTGTAGAAAGATTAAACATACTCGAAGTATGTTTAGCAGATTGTCCTTGCAAACTTTTCATTTGCCAAAGTTCCACACTAATAGTCATAGCTAAATGCCTAAACACAAACTCCCTTGTGCTATTCTTAAATGAAATTTTAAAGATACAGAATCCCAGTGAAATCAAGTAATTATTATTTAGCCCTTGTTTGAAAGTGTTTTTTTCAGAGAAGGTTATAAAGTAGGGAAAAGTTATGGGGAAACCTGAAAATGATTTTTTTATTTTTTATTATTATTATTATTTTATTTTTTTTTTTGTGGGTGTGTGGTTAAAAACGAGTGGAGAAAAAGTGATTTTCAGAAAACCACTTTCATACAAAGGCTTAATTATAATATCTATGTAAACTTAAATGAAAAAGAATTCAATAAAATTACAAGTGGTGAAAGTTCCTAGCAGGCAGCAGCAAAGACTTTACCTTCCCATGGAAAGATTACCTCTTACATGTTTGATGTTACTGAATTCACCAACAACAGTTTTTTCAGCTTCCAACTTCTGCACTGCATTCAGAGGAGCACTTCTTCCTCCAACGACATCCGCTACCTGGGCAACAAACCCTTTATCTACCTTTACAATCAACAATTTCCATCAGTCACTATGCATTATCATAATCAACATGTCAAAAGAATTAACTTTTCAAAATCCAAATTATCACCCAGAAAAAGTGATTGGTTTATAGCATCCCTGTCAAACAAGCTTGCAGATGTATTCAACCGTTTTTGGTGCAACACTTGGGCAGAAACAAAATTAAATGTTACCTTAATTTGTCTGCATGCGAAGCACATCATACCATTCGAAAGACCTCGTGGATAACAGCATATATGAAAAGGCAAAGCAAAATCATGGCCATTTTCAATTGATCCACACTAAATCAACAAAACATCCATTAAAGTCTACATTGCAGCTTATAAGACCACGTTGAAACGCTTTCTCACAATAGCAAGTTAATCCTTTCGCTCTCGAAGTGTTTTTAATTTTTATTACTATTATTTTTTTTAGTACAACTCTCTCTGTGTTTTAACCTTTTCTTTTCCTTTTTTTTAGTTGAACAGCAAGATTTCTTGTCCCAACCGCTCGGAAGATCGAGCTTGCTTCGGAAAAAAAAAAAAAAAAAAAAAAA